GCAAACCCACAACATGCAACACTGAGCACAAAATCCATGATATCGGCAACGGCCACAATGTTGCACAAGATGTCTCGTGCTGTATAGGCACCAAAATCCGTGTGCAAGGGCGAGGCAATGGGCGCGGAATCGTCATGAGTGGGGCACATTGAGGCACCACACCGTTGCGATCCCGCCAAAGAAGCCAAGATCCTAGAATTTGGGCAAAATCGGACGATGCTTGTGAACGACCGGCAAGCGGGGGATGGTACTCCAATGATTCAGTACATCGCACAAGGATTGAATAAAGCAAGTTGGTATGTCGAGTCACGACACCGTGCACATGACATCACTAAGACATCGCCACTTCAGGGCAGATCCGATCAGTACCCCAGCTCGAGCATTATCTCACCTAACCTATCTAAGACCTCTGCGCTCTTTTGCAATGCAGGCTGCTAGACATGTGCCAGGAAGGGGCGAGTGTGCCAACAGTCCAGCTTCTTGCATTGCCATGCCGTGGCAGCATCAGCAAAGGGCGACCCCGCTAAAACATGCTACATTCATACCGTGGAAATGGTATGAAATGGTGGGATGCCAACACACCGACGGCTGTCTTCCGCTCACCTCGTGCTCATCACGACCGTTGAAAATTTCGTCACACAGAACTGTCGAGCATCGCACCAGGCGAATGAATTGCCCCTTAGCATGGACATGCACCGGACTTAGTGGCAACTAGACAGTGCCGGGGACCAGCCTAGCCGCATCCTGGGCGGTTTGGGTTCTCGGGTGGGGTTTCCAGTCCACGTGTCTTTCGGGACACGGTTTCCAAGTGGCAAGTAAAGCTGACGGGATGCACGCTTTCGGCCCTGCAGACACGAGCCAGTCGCTTCATCGTTTGGTGGCCCGACTGTGCAGTTCAAAGTGGTCTTGCCAGCCGTTTCGTCAATCCCGAGGGCTACGAAATTTCTACGTAGCCATCGGTTCATTGTTGCGTTTGGAGGATTGCTGCGCTTTGAGCTCAAGATGCTCATAGGTTTACCTACATATGCGGTGCTTCTGCTGCCTCTTCTTGTACACTCCAGGGTACTTTTAGGTACATGATGTTCAGCGAATGAGACTTGCATCATCATACAGCAATCATATGCTTCCATGTCAGTGGCAAATCCCGAGGTTGATCTCAACGACCCCAATGTCAGGCTGGTCATGGATGCAGTGTCACAGAAGCTGGCGGATGTGCCCGTGAGCAAAGCACAGAAGGAGCCTGGCCTCAGTTTAACCGGCACACACTGCGAATTTTGTTTGTCTGGTTTTGCTGAAGCAGAGTCTATAATCAGCTTCTCACAACACGAGGCCCGGATAGTCAATGCCGCTGCAGATGCACTAACGAAAGCCAGCACGACACCATTCGATGCTTGGTCGAAGCTGCTGCAAAGCCGTAGCCTTTTTGATGATCGCTTCGCCAACCCAAAATGCTGCAACATGACAGTGTCCTTCGCCTATGGAGGATGGCGTTGGAATGGTGGTCCGAGCCGCGCAGGAAGCTGGCTTGACTGACAGCCAGGTGTTGAAGAGGCTTGCCTGGAATTGATGGCGTCTGCGAGCGGCTTGTTGCTGCCAGCATGAGATTCGAAGCTTCGGATGGAAACCCAGGATCGCTGCTGAAGCACCAAAACTTTCTGCGGATCAGCAAGTGTCTGTAGCAACTGCTCTGGACGCTGCCGGTGACCTTCGGCCATATCTGGCAAGCAAGGGGCAGGGCCTAGACGATGGTCTGGCAGCCGAGGATGGGGTCGAAAAGGTGATAGGGAAGACTATGCCGAAGCCAGCGGAGAAGGTTGCAGCAGTGGCTTGCTGGCATGTCTTGTTTTGCCCACGAGGCAGCGCACCAGAAGTCAAAAGGAGCAGCAGACAGTCCGCACAGTGTCCGCACCATGTTTTCTCTTGGATGCGAGGTGGTCAAAGCCGAAGCCGCAGCTGGAATGACTGACGGCGCGCAAGCAGATTCTGCTGCAATTGCAGTTCCTGGATCTGCAATGCAGCAAGGCTTTTGAGAGTGGCGCACCTGTGTTCTTTTCCTGCCTTCTGGGACAGACAAGAGGTTGCAGCAGCCGCTGCGGCATCCCAGCGCGTGGAAAGCGCAGAAGGCGAAGCTGGCATCTTCAAAGAAATTGTGTCCTGGCCATGGATAACTGCGTACCATGCGCGGAGCATGCAGTATACCTGCACACGTACAAACCTCGATTGCAGATACTGGTGCATCCAAGCAGTTTGCATCCGGCCGATCGCTGCTTCGCGCATGGTTGGGAAGTGTTAGGTTGTACGAGGGAATGAAACTCCCATTCTTGCTCGGTCACAGCTGTAGCAAGTGCAGCACCCTTGCAACCAGTACCACGACCCGCAGCCTGCCGAGAAAGTCGCTGGAGAGTTATCCGTTATCCACCCTAGCAGCTGCCTGATGCTGTCTGTTTCGAGGTTGCTGCTGGCATCAAGGCCTCTCAGTTCGTTCAGTCCTGTTGCATGAAATGAACGGTTTGATTCGTTGTTTTGGCCATCCCGCGGATTGCTGGCACTATGCAAGACATTCTGGCAGTGTTCCAGCATGAGAGCCGCAAGTGACTTCTCCGGCAGATCGCGTTTCTTCAACAGTGTTCTACGCCTGTCTACATAATTCGAAGCCTTCTGGGCCAGAAGGTTGAGAAGTTTTCTGCACTTCGTGTGCGGGTCGACAAGGTCTTCGGTTTAAAGTCTCCGGGTGTCCGAGGCTCAGCTCAGCCAGGAGCAAGTGGAGTCGATTCTGTCGGTCGTGGCTCCGATGCCTCCGGAAGACCAGGCCCAGCATCAGCTTTGCTTCTTTCCTTCACATGCAAAGCGCAATTCCACTGTGACAACTAGCCTGGCAAGCTCTTGCGGGCACTTAGGTGGCTGTTAAAGAGCACCTGGAAGCGTTGGATGTGCCGCCTGTGCAAGTCGTGCCGCTGCAGCACAAAGCATTCAGTTGCCGAGCAATACGCTGTGCAACTTGTTGAAGGTGCCCTTCGATGTAACGTCCTTGCCACCAGTGCCGTTGGATGGTTTGCCAGCTGAGAGTGCGCCGTTCCTTCCACAGACTGATGTGGGCCGCATGCCGTCCACTTCCACCGTGCCTGAAGCGATTGCGCATTCGAGCGGGTCAGCATCACAATTCGTGCCACGGGCTCAGTACCAGAGCGAATATCTAAATCTTAGGTCTTAGGCACTGAGTGGCTTCGAGGTTCGGCGTTGTCCCGTCACCGACAAGTTCTCGCGCAAGCTACAAGGACTGTGCCTCCGTCGTGTGGCTTTGTCAGATCTCCTCGTAGACCCACCGTCAGGACCAGACTGGTGTTCCACCCAAGGGTTTCATGTTCCAGGTGGCCCTCAACAGCCAGGGCAGCTCGGCTCAGCTTAGCGTCGGATCAGGCGATGCTTCGCAGTCATGTCCACCAAGGGGTGATGGAGTTCCTGCGTGGGAAGACAGGCTGGGTGGGTGACCCCCACGAGCTGAGCATAGTCGCTCGGCCTTGTTCAGGCTTGTCTCGCAGAGGTGAGACGGTAATGTTAATGCCGTCATGAGGCACTTGGTCGATTCCGTTTTGACTGGCCAATGACCAGCTGTTCAGATGAAGAGATGCGTGGCATCAATTTGGGATCTTTGGGAGTGGTAGAGTCATAGGCTGCATTGCAGTGTAGGGCCAGCTTGTGCAAGCAAGGAGTGGTTTCACAGATTTTCAATCTGTCACCTTTTACAATGCCACCTTTGCTAACCCTGGTGATGAGTGTGGCACACTTGTGGCCACCACTGTGGATGTTGCTGGCGCCGTTCGATTTCCGCGTTCAGGCCTGGTGCTGGCGCAGTTGTTTCTGCCTTTTTTTTGTGCACGTCGCGGTGTATCGCGTATTTCAGTGGATTCGTTTGCCGGCCATGCAAGACTACTCAACGTTGTTTTAGCTCAGATCTTGAAGTTTTCAGCCCGGAGCTTTCCAGAAGCGAGGCTGTTTGCTGCAACGTTGGAGGCGTCGCAGCAGCTGTGCAGGCTTGAGCTGCTGCGACAGCTGAGGTGACACGAGCTTGTTCTGGCTTGCTGGCCAGCCGCTTGCTAAGCATGGTCCAACCGAGCCCAATTCGGGACAAAGTACTCGTAGATGAGTCTGCCATGCGACATGCCGGTTTGCAAGCCATGAGAAACTGCCAAGGTTCGGGACGAAGTATCCTCTCACAGGCGGTGACCAGGTGATGTTTTCCCTCCTGGACCTTGTGATCGTGGCCTCGGCAACCACTGGCGAAAAGGCCAGGGCTGAGTAGGGCGCTGCACCATTGGCCCCGAAACAGCTCAAGGTAGTGGAGAAGGCGAGCGTCGAGCGTCCGCTGTCAGGTCGAATACAGCATATGTGGAGATCCAACATCAGCCTCTTACGTGGGCTGCCCTGAGCAGCCGATGGGATCTGCACTTCAGACTTCAGCATTTTACTCATTTTACATAGCCGGAGCAGCATCAAGCCAGTACATGAAGAGCAGACATTATGAATAATCTCAGTGTGGAGCCTGCGCTAAGGAGCATGCTGAAGATAAAGTATCCGGAGAACAATCTTGGACAGGGAGTCAAGATCTGTTCAGGCCTTGAAGTTCAACCAAATCTTTCTGGTCGCTGGAGTGGTCAATAGCTGCCGGTCAGGTCAGGCCCACTTTCATGAGTACAGGCTCGAAAACTGCTTCACAGCCGCTTTCCCCGCACGATGCAGTGTGTTTTAGATATCAATAGTATCGCTGCCAAAGCCTGCGCCTTCTTTATGCACTGCCGAGGTTTAGCTGCAGATGTAGATTCTCAATGATGCCTGGCCTGTGTGCTGACAGCTTGTACTGAGCGACATGTGGCGAGATAAACGGCGCGTTCGGATCTTGCTGTCGTGACTAACGGGCAGCACAAGGCTTCTGCAGACCATTGCAGCTGCACAAAATAGGTGTGCGTGCATTCCCCAATCTACGAGGACAGCATGAGTTTCAGGTCCGCCACAGCTTCCAGGCGGTCTGCGGAGGACTCTCGACACGAAGATGCCGAGGCTCTGCACTCGGACTCTGCTTTGATTCTTTGATCCTATGACGCACTTCCCGTAAAAAACCCTGACAGTCCTGTATCTAGCCGCTAGCCTTGAGCTCCCTTCCTTTGCCACCATAACCGTGAACGTTTTTTCTTGATACTGCGAGCTTTTTCGTGCCTTTGTTTTGGACTGGGTGGGTGTACCCTGGCCTGGCTTCTCGCCATTTTCTTACCGGCATTGCATGGGGGTGCCGCATGATGAGCACAAAAGAGCGCACCTTCGACGTCAGGGGATGGTGCTCAGCACGAGTCCACGATACCCAGGATCCTCTCCAAGATTTGTCCTTCATTCTCGAAACTGTTTGTGGAAGAACCGACTGCTTAGCAACACTGCACCGAAGAGTATCCAGTGCGAGGGATGATATCAGTGACATTGCTACTTGTTCGGCTGTCGTTTCGGATAGCTCTGCAAACAACAAGCATCTTGAAGTGCTGAACTAACTTGCTCTCGCTACTGGACTGTCATGTGAAACTACAGGACGTGGTTTTGGCAAGAGAAGCTGTAAAGTGGCTGCGGGGCTCTCAGGCTGCCCAAGCCGTGTTGCGAAGATTCGTACATTGTTCTGCAAGGCTGCAGAAGATTTACCGACGATGTGACAACAGCAAGCTGGACAAGGCAGCACGTGAAACTCGATATTGCTGTCAAGTCAAGTTGGTTGTGTTCCTTTAGGTACCCGAACTGATGACGCGATGCGAGGGCAAGGAGGTGCTGTCTCGCAGCGCTGTGAAACACCACTGCTATCATCACCTCCATGTTTGTCTTTTGGTGTGAAGGTTTTATTGCTGCATTCGGCTCTGCTGAAGTACGTTCCAATGCCGTGCACCGGATGCAAAAGATGTTTCGACCAAGCTGAGCCAGAGTTGTCCTCTGCTTGTCAGGCGCGATGAGGAGATAGACTGCCCTGGCACTTGGAGTCAGAGTCAACTTCACTTCGTTCTGCCACCACGGAGCTACGAGGCTTCGGGCAAACTCTAGAAGACAAGGCCGACCTGTTGCAGGACACGGACAGTCCTGAATTCTTTCGCGCAAGCGGCGCAAGCCAAGCTGCTAATCAAGCAGCCAAGCCAAGCGCCAGGAGTTGCTCATGGGACTTGCAGACCACTTTTCAGTCGATGCCCCTGCTGTGGTCTCCGCCTGAGACCTGAGCCTTGAGCTGAGCGCGCCCTGCTCCAGACGAGTCGACACTCACAGGATCTGAGCAACCTGGGCACTTCTTTTCTACAGGAGCTGTGCGCCACACGCTTTGTGTAATTGTTTCCGATCATGCCAAACACCGGTAAACCATCAAGGTACCAGATGCTGAGCCACGTCAAGGACTCCTCCATTGGAAGCATCTCGACCCCCTGCTTCATCGTGCTTCATGGCACGGCCGTCTACGTGCCGAAACAGGGCAGCATCTCTTCGGTCTGATGCTGAAGTTGTGCCTTCTTCCGACATTCCACCTGTGCGGTACCTGCCGTGGCAACTTGCTGTATACCATATACCGATACCTGTACAATTCAGGAGGCCGAGGGATGCTGAGAATTAGATAAGATCTGGCAAGTGAGAAAATTCTTCGTGGCCAAACCGGGGCTCGAGGTGTTTTGCCAAGTAAGTGTGCTGCGAGTGTCAAGAGGACAGCACTTTCTTGTGGTGCGCTTTCTCAGGATTTCGCAAGGTACATTCAAGGTGCTTCAAGTGAGGATATCCGCTCAGACTGTTTAGACGACATCCATGTCTGCCATGGGCGCGGGCCCGGGTCCAGACCGCTGGAAAGAGACGCCCGGCCGATGAGCTTGCGATGTCATTCTGATCACGATTGGGACGTGAGACGCTGCCGAGGCTGGAGATCAAGCTCACGGAAGCCTGCCAGCAGCACCAGGAAAGCATCCAGAGGTGCTTCGCAGACTTCGTGCAGCAGGCCCGCTTCCCTCGGATACTAGTGTCCCAGCACACCGCACTTGGAGAAACAACCGCGGAGATTGCCTCCGTAAGAGAGAATGCGACAATCTTCACATGCTGCAGGCGCCAGCTGTGGTGAGCACCTGGCTGAGTGGATCTTTTGCATGAGCCGGAGTACTCTTTGTCATGCGTGTACATCCCATGGTCTTCAGTTAGGTCCTTTGACACTGGTCGAGAGCAAGTTGGCGGATGCAGTGCCGAACCCCCCATTGGCTCGAGCTCCAAGCCGCCAAAGCCGACTTCCTCCAATCGATGCTGTCATGAGCCCCTCTGGCAAGACCGCACGATTTACAGAGATCAGCGATGCCCCGCTGCCCCCTACTGCTTTGCCCCCCACGTTGCCTCCGCCCCGCTCGCCGCAAACTGACACAAAGTCTGTGGAACCAGAGACGGCATCCCATACAGACCCCCTGGAAGGCCAAGGAGGAGCAGTTCAAAGTGGCACGAAGCCTGTAGAAGCACCAGCCGTGTTGCCTATCGACGCCTTGGAAGGCGGAGCACAGGAAGTGCAAACTGACACGAAGGCTGCGGAACCAGCCACGGCATCGCCAATCGACCCGGTGGAAGGTCCAAGAGCAGCAGGACATCCACACAAGCCAGTTGCATCCAGCTGAATGTGGAACGTAATACGCCTTTGTCCTTTTGGTCCAGGACCGGCTGATGTGGCACCCGAAGAGCCAGCCAAGCAGACCTCAGATTCGCCACCTGCCAAGAAAGGCACGGTTGCAATGACTCTTAGCTTCGATAATCTGTTTATATTGCCTGCCAGGCCCTACACTTCATAGCTCAAGGAGGAGAAGTGCGCAGTTGCCGGCCGAAGACTTGCCTGAAATTGAAGAGGGTCAACCTCTGGGCGATCCAGGACGCTTTTGCAAGAGTGAGACACCGACGCTGCTATCGGGTTATCGGACTGTGAGGACTCTCGGCGGCGACCGGGTCCTGCAGCACAGATCTCGCACACCATGTGAAGCCGAGTACTTCCAAGGCTGTGCCACATACCGCCGAAATTTAGAGCGTGTTGTGTCGGCTCCCGCCATATCAGAAATGGGCATCGGTCGATATGCAGGAATGGTCCAACGACGGTGAGCCTCCCAATGATTTGCCAGGCTGGCTGAGATTGGATCTTCGAGGTCATTAGTGAGACGTTGTCATGGTGCTACTCGTCATTTTGAGAGGCATTCCGGATGGGATGGTCACAACCCCACAACTGCAGTCACTGCATACGCTGCAGTCTGGAGACTCCGAAGGCATTGGGATGTCAGGCCGCAGCAGGAGCAACCCTGCCCTTCGAAAGTCCAACTTTATCGCTCATGAAAACCGACGGAAAGTTTTCGAGAAGCAGAGTAAGATTCAGCGCCTGACGGAATCTCCTGCTTTTGAGTCAGTGAGTGGCTTCCTCATCCTCCTCAACTGTTTATTCGTGGCATGGCAAACGCAAGCCAAAGCCTTGGATGACGAGTCTCGCGCCACAGCAGGCCTCGAGTTGCAGCTCTGCTTGCATTGGGCAAATTCGACCCAAGTCAGCATCGCTGTGCAATGTCTGTGGCTTTCAGTAGCCGTGCCTGAGCCAAGGGTCGTCTCGGAACCATTCGAATTCACAGTTCTTCAAGGCATCTTCCTGGTATGCTTTTCCGCCGCACCTTGGTTCAAGCGGGCATGGGCGGCATGGCGCTTTTGGGCGGGTTTCTGCTTTATTGACTCGCTGAGGAGCTCGGGCTTCGGTTCATGGCGGACAAATGGTATCTCTTCAACTGCTCTAATCCGAATGCCTTTTGGAATTGGAACCTTGGTAAGAACGCTACCAGAGCCGGACATGTTTTTTTTGTTTCTCTGGCTGACAAAGGGCACGTGCTGCAATTGCAAGGTTGGATCTCATGGTGGTTACTTTTGACTTGGATCCTTGGCTGTACAGCATGTAATACCATGAGTTGAGATTTTCAGTCGCGATGTTTAGGCTTCGTTTGTCAAGCTCTGTCGTTGTCGGTGTCATCGTCTTTAAGAATCTTATCTGTGAGGTCAGCATCTTCCTGGAAGTCTGGGTTCAATTCAGCCTCCTCCGGGTAATACGCGTTATCCGGGTCATCCGTGTGGCCAAGATGATTCGCGCTGCTTCGCTGGATTGAGATTCAGAGCCCAGTCGACGATTCGCCGGGTCTTCAGCAAGAGTTGCATGCTGCAGCGGGCAGTCAGGCTCAAAGCAAGGAGGACATCAATAGGATACCACTTGGAAACGTGACTGATTGTTTCGCGATGGAGGCATTTATGCATCTGCAGTCTTCTGGCTTGCAGCCTCCAGCTCCGCGCGTTTCGCAGACACGGCAGTCTTCTGCGGCGCCACGTCTACGTGCGACAGCAGCAATGCTGGCTGCTGGTGGCCTTGTCAGTGCTGGCTTGCTACCAGCCGTACATCAAGTTCAGCACGGAAGGAGGAGACTGGTCAAGCGAGTGACCAGTGATGACGTCCAGTGGCTGCCACAAGCGGCGAGCTTGGAATCAGAAGGCGAGGTTCAGATACCTCTGCTTTTGGTGGAAGACGTCTACTTGCCAGGTGCACCCGTAGCTCTGCCAGTTGCCGACATGTCCACGAAAAAGCTCTATGATTCCATGCTGGCTCCTGGGCTTGACGGTTTGGTTTCTGCTTAAACTTATCTAAGCCATCTACAGGTGGGTAGTTTTAAGGTGGGTAGTCTCCCATAAGCCTTCCATACCACTCCTATAAGGTAAAGGGGTCTTATGGGAGTACTACCCACCTGAAATGGGCTTCTAACTTAGCAGCCTAGCAGTGACACGCAGATGGCGTTTTTCTCGGGCGGTGGTCCTCCCTGAAGGCAGCTGGTGGCCGTTACCTAGGCGCAGTTCTGTACAACAGGGAGCACAACCAGACAGCTGCGTATGCCACGCTGCTGTATCTGGAGGACTTGGTGGAGTCACCGCAAGGGTATTTAGCATTGCACTTCGCAGCTCTGCATATTGGAGGGATGCCTTCTGTTCTGTTCCATACGTCAGATGGTTTCAGAGCGAAAGCTGTGTCTTAAGAGCTTGCTGTTTCCGTTTCATGTGTCAGCTTTCGGGACAGTTAATGGGGTGCACTGCAAGCGGCGAACTCCCTGAGTTGCGAGAGTGCAGGCAGTCGGAAGGGCTCGGCTTCGCCGCTGTCTTCCAGGCGATGACTTCTTGCGGGCAGAGGCTGACCTGCTTTGGGATGACAGCGAGGAAGCACTGAATGGTGCTGACGTGCTGTCAGAAGAGCTTTCTGAGCTGGAGAGGCTGCAACAGCAGCACGGATCGCAGGGAGACGGTTTGAGATCGGCATTGATCCTGGAGCCACCTTTGCCACCGCCTGTCCAAGCTGTTCAGGGTTTGTGGCGTGCCAAGAGCGGGGTAAGGATCCGAATACATGGCATGGAAGTTCAAGATCTGGGAAAGTTGGAAGTTCAAAGCAACAACCAGCTTGCGGTGCAGCTCAGTTCCAAGCCTTTTTCAGCTACTTTAACGTATGGAGCCGATGAGACGGTGGATGTCTTGACCTGGGATGACGGTGACGTCTGGCGCAGGTTGGCAGCAGCTCCTCCGACGAGAACGTCACGGTCGGCGGCCTCGCTTTGGCAGGCAGCGAGGCGTTGGCGCACGCTGGGCCGCTGGCGCGCCGAGGCCCGGCGCGGGGAGGCGCGCTGGAGCTCAGCCTCGGAGCTGGCGAAGTCGAGGAAGGCGAGGGTTTGGGATCCGGAGAGCGACGATCAAAGCGGAGCGACGGCCTGGGCTTCGGCAGCAGAGAAGGCAGATAGCGCCGCACGTGCCGAGCTCTGGGAAGAGGTGCTCCGGCCCTGCCAGCGGCTTCTGCAGGCCCCGTCGACTTCGGCCAGGGTTGAAGTCTTTAGAGGTATGCTTCGAGCCGAGATTACGCGCCTCCAGCTCAGTTTGGCACTTGGAAGCTAAGCCGAGCGAAATGACATGGACTGTGCTGCATCTGCATTGCTGGCTCATTGACTCTTTTTGTTGCATGATTTCGGAGCAGCACATCATCCAGAAAGCAAGCAGTGTTAGAGGGCCACTGCTTGTCAGCATCTGAGGTCATGAGAACCTTCCAGGAGCTGAGGCTTCTGATGCACTCCATCATCAGCTGCATTCGATCCCTGATCTGGGTCGTGGCAGTTCTGTGCCTGATGCTGGGCATGTTCTCCGTCATGTTCACATCTGCAGTTGGGTCTACTTTGGACACGGCAGTACAACGACGGGACCCTGCAAACAGTGTACTGATTGAACATTTTGGCACGTTGGACCGCTCAACCATCAACCTCTATATGGCCATGACCGGTGGCACCGACTGGTACCGTGACTTCATGGTGTAGCGCAGCTGTTTCTTCTGCAGGTAGCTGCACGATAGTCGTCCTGTCGCTATTGCGGACTGGTGAAGTGTCTGTGCTGTCCGAGGTCGGTGCAGTATGATGTGCCTTTGACTTCATGGTGTAGCAAAGCTGGTTCTTCTTCGAGTAGCTGCACCATGCTCGCTCTCTCCCTGTTGCACACTGGTGAAGTGTCTATGCTGTCTGAGGCCATGCGCCCTCTTTCTGGCATCTACCTGGCCTTATTCCTCTTATACATCACCTTTAGCATCTATGCCTTGGCAAATGTTGTCACAGGCACCAGCAGTGTCAATGAACTTGCGTTGCACTCTTGGGTCGCGTTGGTTCTCATGTTCGCATTTGCCAGGTATCTTCCTTGAAAACGCTCGCAACTCTGGCAAGAGAGACCGGGAGCATGTGATCGCAGAAGAGCTGCAGACCAAAACACAGTTCCTTCATGAACTTCAGAGGGTATTTGATGCACCTCGGCATGTGATGTCGAACTCGCAGCGATTGACGGGATAGTTGGCTCGTGACCTGATCAAAGCACGAGCTTGAGGAAATGGATGCCAACGACAGCGGGACCATTAGCAAAGAGGAGTTCGAAAGCACACTTCAAGATGAACGTGTGCAGGCCTATTTCAATGCCATGAAATTAGATGCCCGAGCCAGGGTTGCAGTCAGTTCTTCTTGCAGCGCATGTGCACCTGACATCGTGCTAAGCTTACCGGGGCACTGAGGGGAAGTGGAGTACCTGTTTGCACTCCTCGACTTCGATGGTTCAGGCCAGCCCTTGAACAAGCGGGAATCCATCGGCTTATGGGCTTGTTTAAGAGGTGGACACAGCCGTGCGGACGGGTCGAGTCGGGTAGAGGTGAAGTCAGCTACAGCGAGTTCGTCGATGGCTGCTGGAAGCTGCAGGGCGAGGCCGCCGTTAAGCACGTAAGTGTGCGAAGCTCTCCGGCGAGTTGGGGTATGTCGGGGTGATTCCCACTTGCCCGAGTGCTGTACGCGCACTGCGAGGCAAGAAGCCTCGACATGAAGATTTTGCAACTTGAACTCTGGCCGGAAAGCTTCAGTTGCATGTCAGACTGCGGAAGGATTTCAATCGCATGTTTAGAAGACCTAGCCTTCACTTAGCTTGACGAACAAAGCTTGAGAGTTGAATCAAACTGGAGCAGCGAAATGCAAAAACAGAGAGAATCCGAATGGTTCAAATTTTAATTCTTTTGCATACGGCTTTTGCCATGGCCTGGTACTCAGCCGCTCATGTTCGCCCGCTGGCGTAGGTGCATTAGACGGCCAATTTGAAGCAATGGATGACAAGAGATATTTCAGAAGCAACAAATAGCATGTTTTGCTCATGTCCTTTCCCAACAGACAGAAGGGTTCCAAGGCCACCAACCTGGCTGTATATCGTCTTTCTGGTCCGGTCGAACCTAAATTTCGTGTTGCATGCGCACACTTTCCTCAACTGACTCGGATGCTTTCGGGTCAAGACGTCCCTGGTCCGTTTGTTGCTGAACCCATTCTCCACGGCACTGTTGAAGGAATAGTGGGATGGAGGCTTCTAGAGCAGACCTGCACCAACCTTTCCTGATAAGTGTCCAAGAATGTTGAGGCGAAAGCCCTGTCACATGTATGCGAGACTCGGCCGAGGAGATCGAGTCCTTGTCGAAGCTGGTGCACCACGCTCGGACCTTGCAAACCATCCGCCTTGCGGCCTCTTCTTGCCTTCTTTGTTGCTTTCTCCTGGGCCGAGCTCCGAGCCCCACCGAGGTCTTGACACGGGTTTCCACTGAATCCACTAGTCTAGCATCATGGAATGTGCACAGCACAGCTTTTAACACCGCCGCACGGTTTTCACGAGCTTCCCGCTCCACAGCTCCGAAGGAGCAGGCTGTGACAAGAAATCAGCCAAGTGACTAGCGGTACTGAAGCCCCAAAATCGCAGGACTGGTCTTTCACAAGCTGCTTTAGCCTGCAGATCACATGTGATGGTTCGTGCTAATTGGGGCTTCTCGGAGAGTCCTCGTGCACATTTTCGCAGGTCGTAGGTACGACTCGTAGGTCCCGAGGTTTCAGCGAGCTGTAGTTGCAAGGCTAGCTTCCTTTTGCCTTATGAGCCCGGGACATGTTGAAAGAATCTCGAACAGGTCGGTGCTGTGTTGCTGCTAATTCCTGGACCTGTGAAAATCCGGAAAACACAATCGGAAGTACAACGTCTCAACCTCCAAGAGGTTGCTCTCGGCAAAAGGTGTAAATGTTGATCCGAATCATCGCGATTGTGTGGACAAAGATGCGGTCACATTTTGGGTGTGTTGCAGGAGTCCAGGCTGCGGCCGATCGACGATGCGCATGCGGGAAGGCACGTTTTTGATACGTCACATCGGCTTTCGGCACATGAGCTTGAGAGGCCGGAAGAGAGGAGCTACTTCTCAGGGCCTTCTGAGGCTGACTGCGAGCCAGGTGATTGTGCGGGCTGTTCCTTGCCGTTGTGTCGCTTTCAGGGCGTCCTGGGATCCTTCGCGCCAGAGGAAGGCACAGGGATACCGGAGGTCCCTGACAAAGACTGCGAGGCGGATGTTGCCGATACTTTGTGAGCAGTTTGTGGGTGCTACCGGCAAGCGTGAGTCGCTTTTTGTGCCTGAGATACCTCTGGACGGACGCGAGCAATTCCTAGCAGCTGCGAAGCGAAGGCTGGAGGGACAACTCGGTCTGCCGAAGCATGCGGCAGCTGCTTTGATGCATGTGTGATCACAAAGCGTCAGGCATGAAGCGCACTGGGAATCGGAAGAAGAGGAAGAAGAAGGGGACGTGGATGGCTCTAATGTTGCCTAGCGAACTCATGTTGTGTTGCGAAAATGGCTTGCTTGGATCGTCCACCATGTGGCCGGCGGTCCATGTCAGATTGCAATGTAAACTTCACGTCTGCAGCTTTCAACGTCGAGCTTCTCAGGATCTGAGTGTGTGCTACTTTCACCCCTCCCGCTGTGGTGGCTCTCCTTGCTCTCCCTTTGGTCGCCTCAAAGCACCCGGAAGCAGCCTCGCTTAGAGTGCCCGAGTGGCGAGAGTCCAGGTTTTTCCGTTGACCATCCTTAATGACTAGAGCTCGAAACGAGAAACCTAAGCACCCCTGTGGTCTTATTCTGCAAGGCTTTCATGCCACTCCCAACAACTAAGTTAAAGCGCTTGAACATGCTTGAACCCTGAACCACAGCGTGCATTTGGTCTCTTCTGTTGTCGGGAGTTCCCACACCCAAATGCTCAAAGATGCCTAGCCATCAGAAGGCCTGAGACAAGATCCTTCGCCATACTGCGTTTCTTGGTTCGGGGCTGCCACCTCCTCCAGATCGGGTTCCTGTGCAGTGCGCAGCAGCCCAGGCTATAATTGAGGAGCCGGTCGCAAGCCCTGCTCCGCCTGCTCCAGATAGCCGCCTGCAGCCCGGGCACATGCTGGCATGGCCCTCAGCCTGTCACGTCCGTTCTGTCCTCACAAGGAACCACAAAGCGCCAGCGTGTCGGCGGAGGCATGGTGGGCAGAGCTTCAGACTTGCAGAAAGGACTGTTGCCAAACGGTTAAGAGTTGAGCCGTTGAATGACCTGTGCAAAAAAGGAGAGTGCAGAATGGTGAGGGCTCAACCAGATCTGGCACCACAGCTTTGGTCAGCATGTGCTAGTACAGAGAACGACTGACGCACAAGATGGCAGGATGCCCACGCCATCAAGACCCTTCCATCCCAAGAATGTTGTGCTGAAATTGAAGGCCTTTGGCGACTACCATGCCGTGCTAGTCTCGCAATGATATGAAGTGTAACAGCTACTTCTGGTACAATACATTACAAGGTTGCTGGTGGGTTGTGTTTTCGGCTTACTACGTTACTACGGATTTCAGGTCCATGTTGCCGTGACTTTGTAGTAGCGCAGCATAGTACCGAATGAACTGCGCGCAACTCTCTGGCAGAAGCACGGAGCGTCCCTGGAAAACGAGGGGGGCAGGCACGAGCGCACCGCACTGCAGTCACAACCCCGAACTGTTTTGATTGCCGATCCCTGCCAGGGTGGATGGCAGCTCGGGAAGCAGCCAATCGAAATGCACGGGGCCTCGGACTTTGCTTCACAGTGTTGCTCGGATGTCTTACCGCAGAGAACCATAGGGAATGGTCACGAGCCTGACATCGCTGACGGGCAGCGGAGATGCACACGTGTGCGGCCAGGTTTGAGTGATCCATGTTGCTCGTGTCGTGATGCCGCTAGCCGCTACACAAGAAAGTTTTGCGGCGGTGTATACTTTACAGTGGACCTGTGGGCAGCTCGGCTGCGCACACACTGCACTGCATCCTGGCACACAGCCTGCAAAGTAGGCAGCCAAACCCGTGCACATGCATGGGAGCACAGAATCACACGATTCGGGAAGCAAGAGCTTCGACGGTGGGGGACAGGTCTTCGCCTGAGATGGGGTAGGCATGCGAGGCGAAAAGTGGTTCAGCTTTTCAATGCTGCGGCTGCATGAGGGATGTTGCAAGACATGCGCATGTTGACAATTGAGCTTAGGACTCTCGCTGCTCCTAGGTTCAAGCATATGTGGCTCTAGGCCCTAGGTGTTTGGAGATGGCAGTGCATCCGAAACGTTGAAGCCCAGCTTGGCTTTACAGAGAACTCGTAGCCGAAGCTCCGTGAGATGGCTGTGACCATCGAGGCCCAGGCATCGTGCGGGCCGGCAGAATTCCCTTGCTCCGTGTGTGTGTGTGTGTGCGTTTGGACCAGTTTTTTGTCAGACATACCGCTGCACTAGGTTTCTCTTTAACATTGTCGATGGTAACAGAAGCCTCATCCGATTTTTGCTTAAAATCAATTGGAATATCATAAACCCTGCTTCTTTTACCATAAACTTTGCGGATGCTGGCGTCTTTTTTTCTGTGTCCTCCTCACTCGGTCACTCACTCTCTGTCTCTCTCTCTCTCTCTCGCTCCCTTCCTCCCTCGCTTTCGCTCGCTTTCGCTCGCTTTCGCTCGCTCTCTCTCTCTCTCTCCCGATCTCTCGCTTTCGCTCTCGTTTTCTCGCACTGTCCCAAACTCCAAACCCTGGAAAATCTTGGAGATACAGCACTTTTCTGTTTCGCGTATGTCGCCTGGCGCTTGAATGGTTTCTTACACAGCTTGTATGCATTTTCCAGAAATGCGAGAAAAGAAGCACATCCTTTGCTGGGGGAGGTAGGAAGAGGGAAGAATCGATTCCATCAGAGCCAGGAGGCAGCTGGCTATGGAGACTTTGAATACGCAACGCCTTGACGCGCTGGAACGAGCATCGCCAGAGCCTTTCTTTCTTCCGCCCTTGCCATCGGTGCCTGGCGGATCGTTGCGGAGGTCGAGCCGCCTGGACACGGACCCCCAAGGTCCCCGCGAGACGGACCCGACCCTGCAGTGCGACACCCATGTTGAAAGTTCTATCCCGACTGGACCAGCGACGTGCAGGATGCCGATGCTGCAGCCGGGCGAAGCCGTGGCTGCAGCTTCGATGCAGACACAAGGCCCCTGCAGCCAGCTGTTGTGATCGATTGAGAGCCTGGCAATACGTCGAAAACTTTTGCCGCAGCCAGCCGAGCAATTAGAGCTGGGGTAGGCATCGGAAGGACAAAGACTGCCTTGGAACAAACCATGGCACGCCTTCCGCAGCCTTTGAGTGCCTTGCGGCCCATGTCGCGATGGTTTCAGCACAGTGGAGCCTGTTCCAGCTCTGTCTGCAAAGATCGGCACTGGAATCCGGCAGTGATCGTGGCTGGAGCAGGCTTGGGCTTGGGCTACTACTCGGGGTATGGGAACAAAGCACGACCTGGCTGTGAAGAAAAGGGGGAAGCTTACTGGTGGAAGGACCCTTCCAAATGCTCAGATGCGAGCTCGCTTTGGCAGCGAGGATGGGATAGTGATTGGGACGGGCGAGCTAAGCCGACGTCTTCGGGCACCACGCCGGTCAAGACAACAGGACCAATTCGTCATCTCTTGCTCATCCGGCACGGGCAGTATAACTTGGATGATGATGAACATGGGCTGACCGGCTCGTGTTCAGAGCCCACGGCTGTTTCAGTTTCTGGCTAGGAAGAAGCAGAGAGCAAATCCAGTGTGTTCCCGCACAGCCAAGGCTGACCGACCTGGGCCGTGAGCAGTCGGCAAAGCTCGGGCAGAGGCGACAGATCTTGTTGAGTGTGTCAAGAGCAGGCTGCCATGCAAAGTTGGCAGGCTCCTGTCGGAAAGACTTGGCTTGAAGAAAGATCGATATGGAGAGGTCCAGGTGCAATACAGTGGCATCTGGGTCAGCACTGTCACCCGAGCACGTCAGACAGCGGAGATTCTGTCCAGCTACTTACCGGATGTTCCAGTGCAAGATCCAGATCCCCTTTTGGCCGAGGGCAAACCAACCGTGCCCCATCCCACCTCGCAGCAGCCAGCGCGACCTGCCGACATCTGGGAAGACTCTGCGCGCATGGAAGCAGGTTTCAGGCCGAAAAATCTTGAACATGTCTGCAGATGTCTCTAGCATGTTGCACATGCCCTTTGTTTGAGCCCTTTTGTGTTTTCATCGCGAACGGCAGTTTCGAATTCGAGCGGCCCTCGTTATGCGAAGCACACCAACAATACAGTTTTCTCACCATGGACACTCGCAGGAAGTACGTGCACCGCGCAGTTGACCACAAGCGGCTTGCGGAAAAGGAAGCCAAGAGGGAGAAGAAGCTCAAAAAGGAGCTCGGAGAAGGACAGCACGTCAAGCGCATGCCCTGCGGTTGGTGCAAACCGCACATCTGCAAGTGCTGTTTTGCATCTTGAGGATATGTCCCACCGGAAAAGCAAGAGGCAGAGATGGCGGAGGTCGAGAAGGAGCCAGAGCCGCAGCGGGTCTACGAAATCTATGTGCCTTGGTCTGGCCATTGTGGTCGACTCTGTCCTTCGAGTCTGCCAGCATTTGATATCTTGCTCGTGAAACAGTAGCACGCGCAGCTGAGGTGTGTCACATGAACTTGATTCGCTACTTTGAAGCTTGGCATGAAGTCTTGGGACAAATGTTGCTATATGCCGTCAGGAAGCTTTGCACATGGCACACACACACACAGAGATTCAGCAAGTGTCAACGGCATAGGATTCAGAGTCACTGCGACCCTACACTTTGAGAGTCTTGATATCTGGAGGTGATGCGTGCACTGCAACTTCCGCCAGAAGCTTGGCTTCGTCTGAGGGGCGACAACGCAGGCATAACCGAGAAACTTGACTGCAGCGGTGTGGCGATGGGGGGGCTTCAAAACAGCTGGGATGTTGTTCGCGGATGGTGATGTCTTGAGAAGGATCATCATCCACCCCGATGGGTGACCTGGCAGCACCCAAGTAGGTGGAAAGCGGCAAAGCTTAGGCAGAGCCTGAGCAGACCCGAAGCTCTGTCTCAGGCGAGTCAGCTTGTCTCGCTTTGCGGATGTCGGCCACTTGCCGATTGAGATGGTGACTTTCCATTGAGGGAGACGACGGGCGGAAAAAGGAGCTCAAGGGAGCTGTCGCCTCTACCCCACGCTCCAGCCCCAGTTGGGCCTGGTGGTTGATGCAGGTCCTCTGGGAGCAGTCGGCCTGATTTGCAGCTGCCTGTGCAGGCACACATAGTTCAGAGATGGCGAATGTGTGAGAGGGCTCCTGCAGGGCTCAGCGGCCAGTATTTAGACGCAGCACGTGGAATGTCTGCTGCAAGCAGAACTTAAATGAGCTTGTGGTGGCTCTGATCTTGCATCAGGAGACTGAAGGTGTCCTTGCCACTGCGCATCACTGCGCCATGATATGCCAGGCGCAGGGCAAGAGCAGCATCGGCTGCGCACACCTCGCCCAGCTGGAAAAGGCTTTGGCCGCCCGGAGCTGATACTGGGAAGCTTACATAAGGGTTTTCCAAAAACTCGGTTGGATGCTCCAGAGGACACCACCCTGCTGCAAAGTCGCGCAACCGCTGCGCTCGAGCGAATTGCAAGGACGCCCGATGGTGACGGTGCTGTTGCATCTGCATGGCATGTTGACGAGCTTGGACTTTTGTCAGGCAGCAATCTGCTCTGAAGCGCATCCCGGTCGCGTGTCCATCATGTGGCTCTTTGAATGCCAGACCGCTAGCAGCTAGCAGTCCTTGCAGTGAAAGCGCTTGCGTCTCATCATGCTGCTTGACTAGTCCAGGTCCCTCAAGGCTCCGCCTGGCACACTGGTGACCTCATCTCATGCCAGGACTGCAGCTCCAGCCTCAAGACTTTTCCAAGCGCATGGGCATGGTGTTCGAAGACTCGGGTTTCCAAGGCCAGCCTTTCCTGCCCTTGAGCAGCTTCCAGGCTGGCAGCGGCATGCTGCGTGCACTTTGCTGAAGTTCGCAGAAGTTCGCAGGTCCGGGAGGATCTCAGCGTTTTGAAGACCGCCGTCCAGCGGCTTCGGGATCAGCAGGTTCAGAGCGTCCGTCGTCCGTGGCACATGGAACACAAGACACAGAAGATGAGGAGCGGATTCAGTACTTGGAATGCGTGGCGAAGAGCGAGGTGTCCATGAGCCCCGTGGCAACGACCCTCGGATCAATTGGATGCAAATGGCTGATGTTGGCTCCACATTCCCGATCAGGGCACGACCCTCCAAAGCACCGGAGGACCGAGCTGCCAGTGTGGCCCAGGAAGCCCCGTTTTCCGAGATTCGTGCAGCGTGGTGCCATGCCAGCAGGAAGCCGTCACCCGAAAGATGCCCGCGCGTGGACCGATGGCATCGCCGCATTTTGCCCCACAGATGATGAGCCCGCGATGCCCGGGACAGGCAAGTGCAGCACTGAGCATACTCGATCACTCTGCGGCTTGACTGGAAGGCTGGACTAGGGCCAGATTCGACCAGCTCCCCAGATGCGTCGCCCGGGCATGCCACTCAAATCCACTGGTTCCTGAATCTTGTGAAAGGGAATAGTATCCTGAGACCTGACCTTAGTCTACGTCTGAGGCACCCCTTCTTGTCGCCGTGCTCCCCTTCCCGCAGGCAAGGCTGTCACTTGCGCGTCGTGGTCATTTCCAGGCGTCCCATGCAAGTTGTTCCGCCTTTATGTGAACACCATGCTGTATACTATGCATCTACGGAACGCACCCGCAGATTCGTCTTCCACCCAGGCTCGATCAGTTCGGGCTTTCCGCGCAGCTGGAGCAGTGCCAGAGCCCAGCTGCAGGCAAGATACCACACAGATTTCGTACTGCCCCTGGTGCTTTTGGTCTTCTTTGGTATCCTTTTCTGTTCTTTGTGCCTTCGCTTCGTGGAGGCGTCGGCCGTATGCCTGCCGGATTCAACAATCGAGGAGTTCTTCGGGTTTCTGGAATCATTGTCGGTGAACAGCAGATGCCGGAAGGAGAGGCTCCGTCAGCACCGAGGGCTCAGGTGAGGTGAAGTGCTAGTTGCAAAAGGTCGCATGTCCAAACTTGCCCAACTCGAAGTCCGAATTGAAAAGGCAAAGGAGAAGCCGCCGCCGACAACTTAGATTCACCAAGTTCGAGCGGGCTTGATCCCTTGCGATGTCGAGGATTCTCATGCCTTTGCTGGACACTCAAGATCTCCTTACCAACAGTTCGTCGTCTTCAGCTCCGCAGCAGCCTCAAAGGCCCTTGCAAATCTCTAGCACTATAAGTCTGCTACATGGTGACAATCGCTACATGCTCGGCCAAGTTGTCACACCGCGAGACACTTCTTGTGACTTGAGCTCTATGGACTCTATGGCCTAGGTTGTGCTTCCATGGAAACAAGCTGTCGCGTTGGCAGATGGTGCGATCCCTTGAGACATGCGCAGAATGTCTGCTGTTCGTGCAGTGTGGCACGTCCTTGCCTGAAAAAGTTTTTGTTTCGTGTTCGGACTCATGTTCCAGGTCTTGGCTCTGCAGAATGAACGTGATTGTTCGGCTGAGGACACTGAGCAAAAGACTCGAGAGGCAGCCATGTCTGAGTGCTGGACCTGTTGTCTTGATAAGGATGTCAGTTCGGTTCTAGAAGAAGGTGTGACACGACCGGCAGCCAGCGGAAGATCACTTTCCCCACGAGTCCGAAACCCCTGTTGCTGGTGTGATCTTCTACAATGCACCGAGCAGAACATGCGAAGAAATCGACTGTTGCGGCCCGCAGCACAACAAGCAGGAATCATACCGGGGGGAGAGGATCACACGGAAGTGGGAGAGAGGGAGAGGGAGAATGGCGGAGGCGCTGCAGCGCATGCGGCAAGAGCCCAAAGGCAAGGGCCGAGCCAGAAAGGAGCGCCAGGAACTCGTGCGCTGCAGCACTGAGACATTGCAGAGAGGGCAGAGAGCAGCGTGTTACTGAGGCGAGGAGGGTGAGATCGCATCGGCCTCCGAGTCGGAGGGGCCCGCACCCTCAGAGCAGTGCAGCGCCTCTCCCCTGCTGCTCTCATTTCTCTCCCATGGAGGTCGAGGTTGACGAGTTGGGATGCCAGGCACGTTGACGGTCCAAATCACCGGCGGGCGATCTCGCACCTAGAAGGCCTCAATCTTTGGTGGCTGGGCCACAAGCGACTGTGCAGAAGTGGGTGCCAGAACCTCAGCCTTGTACAGTATCTGCAAGCTGGGAGAGCGACATCACGTTGCGTCGCACGAAAGCCTCATGTCTTGGCGCACCGGTTGTGGTTGTGGTTGTTGTGGTTGTCGGGTTGTGGGGTCGTGGGGTCGTAAAGTTGCGGTCTTGTGGGGTCGTGTGATTCTGGGTTTGGGGTGGTTGTTGTGGGAGCGCTGCAAGGCCAACGGCCTCACCCTGCAAGGAGGACAAGAAGAGCACAGGTGGAAATTGCATGTTTCAGCAAATCCCGATGGATCATATTGATTGGGATGAGGGGTTTCCGAGCCCTGACTTTGACATCGGCGATTTCTCCGTGCCGCCACTTTTTCAGCCAAGCCTCGGCTCTGGGGTCCAACTTTGACAGAAAGTGTATCTGTTGTTCGCTTGCATATAAGTTTCTTTGCTTTTGGACCAGCGCTCCTCACCTCAGAAAGCACCCCTGCCAACAGACGGACGGAGAGTCTACTGCACTCAGCAGCAACTTCGCCCCTCCTTAGGACTGCGGCAGCACAGCACCCGTGCAGCCCCGTGTGTTACCGTATAGGGCCTGTGGCTCTTAGTTCCTGCAGCCATGGCTGAAGAGTCCGCCGAGCCCGGGGAGCCTGCGGGAGCGCTGGTGGAAGACGACCAGTCGCCGGCAGAAACCTGGAATGCAAAATGGCAAGTTATGAATGCAGGTGTTGAGCTCTCGGAGCACCGGGTTCAGCCTGAGTGCCTTGGGGGCCAAGGACCTGAAAATTATTCTTTGTGGAGACTCTGCCGTTGGCAAGTCCAAGATGGTGGAGCGGTTTCTTCTAGATGCTGGTCCTAACATGTCCTCACTCTGCTCTTGGGTGGTTGTCATGCAGTGTTGGGCATTCGCAAGTCAGGATGATTACAACCCGCGAACACTGTCGACCTTTGCGTTGACACTCTTCCGATACCACCATACCGGCGAGGACAGGACGAATATGTGTTCTCTGCTGACAGACATAGCAACGCCCAGGACAAAGCACACGACATGTACTTAGAGTACACCTCAGCATGTTTGACATGCAGCAGCCCATGCGTTCGACATAGTAGATTCTGAGCATTGCGAGGATGGCAGAAGATGGACAATAGACTTTTGGGACACCGCCGGACAGGAGCAGTTCGACAAGTTACATGCATCGTACTATTTCCAGGCCTCTTTGGGTCTGATGGTTCGGACTTCAGCAGCTTCTTCGCCGGGTGTGTTCCCGCCAGCAGCGGCTGCATGTTCGCGAGGCGAACGCCTGCATTCTGGCCTTTGACGTCACGCGAAAGATCACCTACAAGAACTTGGAAACGCGCGCCGCCCAGTTTGCGGCATGCTTTGTGGTTTGCATGCATCCTTTGCACAATGCATGTTGGGCACTGAGGTGGTACAAAGAAATTCGAAATTACTGTGCGGGGCATAGTTATGGCCCAAACGTGCTGAGAGTGTGCATGTAGCTGGCATTCTGAGGTCCAGATATCCCAGTGGTTTGCGTAGCCAACAAGATTGACGTGGAACCAAGCATGGCGAAGAAGAGGTTCAACTTCCCGGTAACCCACCAGCTGCCGTTCTACTTTGCCGCTGCACATGCAGTTAGGAATCTTGGATAGGCTGCAGGGTCGACCAGAAAACACCAGTGTGATCCGCACATCTCGAGGTTTCGTCAGCAGATGGGACGAATGTGGTGCGAGTTTTCAGGGAAGCAATTTCCCTGGCCGTCAAGAACAAGGAGAATCCTCCTGATGAGGTCATGGTGTCTTGACCGCAGGAGAGTCTCAGCGCTCTTCCGCAATATTCTGCCACGTCTATGCCTCCCGAGGCCGAGATCTACGCTCTTCTCGCGGAGGACGACCGCCCTGCCAGGGGAGACGAGTCGGAGGCTGCCGCCTATGATGATGCCGGCGATCCATCTCCGGTGCCTTGTTGGCATGAGGGGACCGTGATGACTGTGAAGCTTTGGCCCGACTGAGGTCAGTGAGGGAGGAGGGGCATCTGCATAATTCTTGCATGGGCCTCCACCTCCCGCTGCACAACAAGCATGGGGCTTAGGCGTAGGGTCCAGTTTTGCTTCAATTGTTTCAAAGAAAGCGGTTTTCTGCGCTTGGGCATAAGCTCGCTTGAGCGTTTGCGTCGTATGCTCGATAAATCATCTTGAATGTTGTCATGGATCAGTTTGCTTGGGGGCAGCTGCCCTTGGCAGGCGAGCTTCGTTTGACACATCTGAGTCACATTAGAGGGTTCTTGTGGAAATACAGTTTGATGACAGTCACCATCAAGTCGCAAAGCGTCAAGTTTCATAAAGCATTTCCCACTGACCTCTCTCCGGAATGAAGGGTACTGGACAGCCGTTTCACCTGGAGTACCGTGTGCGAGTTCGAAGCAGGTTCAATGACACCCAAATTCGAAAGGAGCCGATAGAGGCCACCCAGTATATATACTAGAGTTGCTGGAGAGCATGCTGTCAGGAAAACCGAGTGCATGGCATCGCCTGTGTCTGTTGACTTTTATTACGTATCTTTTATTCACAAATCTTCCTTCCGGTGTTGCTGGCGTGCATTGGCATTGGCTGCTGATGGTTGGAAGATCAAGTTGGACTCACTACCCTCAGGTGAGCCCCGTCCGAGGTGCAGACCTGCTCGCTTGGAATGCATTTTTCCACGGGCCATAGTTCCGTAGCCGGTTCAGGCCGGCGGCGGTGGATGAGGCTGCAGCCGCTTTTCCAAAGTGGCAGCGGCCTCAGCAGTCGAGTATGGTCCTGCTTTCTGCCCATCGCATCCCCCCTGGCCATTTCGTTTTAGAAATGCATGAAAGCATTCAGTCGACTGCATGATCCAGCAACCAACAGTATGATGGCACAATAGGGTGGGACAGTGGTTGGCCTGCCTCGGCCATTCGGCCATGGACTGCAGCAGACGACCCGCGTCTGCCTGAGACGAGCGAAGGAAAGATGGTGGCCGCCTGCCGCTGCATGGCCACACCGCCGATGCCGATCCAACAGCTAGAGAGTGGTCACCAAAGTCTCCACAGAGGCTCGCGGTCCAAACGGGAGCGGGCATGATGCGAGAACTGCTTTCGCAGCATCCGCCAAGGGAGACGCACACAAAGCACAACACGAAGTTGGCGATGCTTCTGCATCTTCTCTGGGCCGGAGCCTCAAGCATCCTCGAGCTGATCAGGCTTTTTCGTCCTGTTTCGTCCGAGGCTTATGATGGCTTCCTCAGGTTTGATTTGTTTCATCGACATGCGCGAGGCTGGAATTCTGACGTGGTTTCAGCTCCGGCACCAACACCTTGCACCCTTTGGGTCGTGTGCAGGTTCAGCATCCGCTGGATCGTGGGGGCGACGTTGTTTTGAGTCCACTTTGGCAGCTGGCTGAGCCAGTTGCTTGCTTTCTCAGTTCCTCGAAAGCAAGCAGGGCCCGGGCCGTTTCAGCAATCCAGACCAACGCTCCTCTGCTGTTGGGTTTGAAATCAGGCTCCATCCTGTTCTGGCCGGTGCGTCTCCAGCTACGTCTGCAATCCGGCATGGCCGCACTGGACCGGGACCTTGAACCAGGAAGGACTCTGAACTTGCACGAGGCACGGCTGCTTGTAGCTGTGGTGAAAGGGTCCTGCTCTAGGTTTACCTCTAGGCCTCTAGGTGGTACCTAGGGGAAAGTTGTCACGCTCTTTCTTTTGGACACTGCTAGGGCAGCTGCCCCATATGTTTGATATACGTGTGATGGTCACTGAGGCATTGGAGCGCGCCTCCCGGCAAAGCTGCAGCGCACTGCAGCACCTCTTTCAGCTTGAAAACACCTGCCCGCAGGCTCTGCTAGTTCGGAGCAGTCGCCCCCACGTGGCGATCCTCCCCTCTAGATTTGGCCGTCGGCGCATCCTTGTCGTCACTGATGCTTTGGTCACGCAGCTGTCAGATGCAGGCCTGCGGTTTGTCGTGGGCCGCGAGATTGGCCGATCTTGGCTGCACCACGGAGATTTAATCGCAGCATGGACGCTGCAACACTTTGTCCGCCAGATGGTTTTTGTACCGCTGCATGTATTTGGACTTCGGCCGGCAGGGCGTCCGGAGCTAAAACGGTCGCCAGAGGAGATTCAACGGCGTGTGCAGGTCAGGCGTTTCATAGATGCTGTAGCCGATGTGTGCGATGTCTACAGAGGCCTGAGGTCAGGCCGCTGGCCTGGGCTTGCGGACCTCGATGTGGACGATATTTGGGGGCCCGGTGAGCGTGGATGGCCTGTGCACAACGATGCCGACGACGGAATGTTTGCCGTCGCTGCGATTTGCTCACGACTGCGGGCGCCAGGAGGTGTGTGGGCCCTAGGTGCAGCTGTGGCCGGTTCTGCCACACCACGACTTTTAGCTGAAATCTTCTCGCTGCCACCCCATGAAGAGCGGCAGCTTCGACGATGCCTACGTTTTGGAACGTGGGGGTTGGGTCTATGGGCAGCAAAAGCAAGAGCTGAAGTGTTTTCAGCAGATCGCCTTGGACTCATTGCCGCTGGTGGTGACTTAGACGCCGCGTTGAGAGCCATGGTGGCTGCAGCCAATTCATTCAACGATGTTGCCACGGCCGCTCTCATCGGCGTCGACGAGCTGGTCCGCCAAGCACAGTATTTGAGCTCCGTGATGCCGCCGTCATACTTGTCCCGGCAGCCTTCTCTCCCTGCTCGAGTCGCAGACTTGTCAACCTGGGCATATTCGCCGACAGCACGTGCAGCATTCAATCCTCAGGGCAGGACCTCGCCGGCAGCATTCAACGATTCGACGGGTGAAAAGGTCGCGGAAGGTCCTGACTCGAAGACCCGGCGCCCATGTCGCATGTCGCACTTTCTAGTGAGGTTCTTGTTGATGCTCTTGGCCTGCTTCAGTGCCGTCTCTTTGCTACGGCATGTGCAGGGTGCCCAGACCACCCGACGGTGCGGCACACCGATATTTGCATAAGTTGAGCGCAGGCTGCACGGACTGGCGCAACAGCTTCAAGGAGAAGCTGTCGCATCTGCGGCCTTGACTGCCTCAGCCTTGTGGCATCTTGTGGCCTTGCATTCGTTTCGAGATGATGCGACACCAGATGTTCGCAGCCCGACGCACGTCTAATTGCGTCAACCTAGGCTATCGTGACCGGGACGTCGCTGCAGCTTTGGCGACACGCGGAAGAGATGGCCATGTCCGGCATGCTTGGTAATGATGGGTCTGGAACTCGTCGTCCTGTCGTTACCTTGGTGAAAGCTCAACTCGCAGCCAGGTACAGACGCGAAACTTGCTGGAGACCACACGTGGTGAATGGAAACATGGCATTGCCGATTGCGTTCGTTTTGCAGAGTGGTGTTATCTTATCCGCGGTTAGTGGATCATGCGGCCAGGTGTGCCTGCAGACCAGCATCTTAGGCAGCGCTTGGCAGCTGAGCTTGGAAGAGGCCCCGTCCTGCTCCGAGTGTTATTCTCCCGGCGCATGCGTTGTGAGGCTTTGGGCCTTGCAGCTGCTTTGGCCCAGCTTGCTCCAGCAATGAACTGAGAACCCGACCGATCGTGATCGTCATCGCGCAGATGGCAAGTGTTCCGTGCCGAGGTTTTCCTGTTCGAGAACTGGGGTATCCATGGACCGGCCAAGCAAAGTCAAAGCAGCTGCATTGGGCATCCCTGTTGCCAAGAGAACTAATAATAAGTCTTTGGTCGGCTGCAGGACCGCCAGCTTATAGATGGGCTGCTGTTGTTGCCCATGTGGTTCAGCACTGATCTTGCTTGGAACATGGGCCAGTGGCAACTAGACGTCCTTGCCTTTGCTGGCGCCGAGGCGACGGCCATCATCATCATTCTGTCTGCCCGGAAGAAGCTTCTGAACAGCCTTGGCAGTGTCCCTGCCTCTAGGGGAGTGGGGACGCGCTTGGTGCAAGCGTGCCAGAGGCTGCCAGAGCTTAATGCTTAGGCGGCGCCCGCTCCCAAAGACCTTTCGGTGGAGGCGGTGACTCCGTGGTCCGAGCCGCCCCGAGGGCCCCGATGCAGTAGTCGGCTTGCAGGTGCTGGAAGTTTGGATCGGCCTGGCCGCTGGCAACTGGGTCACTGCCTTAGGACACGTGGATCGCGCGATGGCCACGGCCGCGACGGACCCTATCGAGGCCGCCTCGTCCTGGGCAGCGTGCACTTGGTGGCGCTCAGCAGCCGGCGTCCAGGCGCTCTCGTCCTGACCGGAGAGTTGCTGCAATTTCTAATGTTGATGAAAGGCAAAACTTCCAGTCCTGGCTCTTGCTACTGCACAGCTCACAAACTTTTGGTCTCTTGCCCCAGCTACTGCAGTATGCGTGAGAGTTGCTATTGCTGCATGTATGGCCCTATTCGGCAGAAGCAGTTGCTTGAGTTGCCCCGCTCTTAATAAGGTTGGCGCACCGCTCACGGCAGCCTCTCTTGCTTGCTGCCTGTGCGCCTGTCTTGATGGGGGCGTGGGCTTCTCGGAGCAGCGTGGCGTTGCAGTCGTGGTGCGCAGGTGTTGCGTTCGGTGGGCTGTCGATGGCAAATTGCCGCAGCCACGGTCGTTGTTGCTGGTGCTTCGGAAACAATCGGTGACTTTGCAAATTCTGATGCTCATGAATCTCCATCTGAGTACCCTTACGTTTGCCCAGCTGATTTGCCTGCTTGCTGGAGGTTGTTGCAGGCCACATGGTGTGGCACCGGCACCCAGACGGGAGGGGCAATACTTTTGAGGTTCGTTGCAAAGCAGTCTCAACAGGACAGATTGACAAGGATACAGTAGCAGACTTTGACGGGCTTTTCATGGCAATGGCCCTGCACTTAGCGAGGTACTAGATGCAGTGGATTTATCATCGTCTTTGCTCCTGCCTTACACAGTGAAGCATGCGGCCGGGCCCTGTGCCCGTCGCTTCGTAGCGGAAGCGACAATGATGCCCGACGAGGTTTATGACTCCTGGAATCTATGTCGCATTTTGTGCGGTGAGTGCCTGGCTTCTGTTCCAGGACCCTGTCTTGTGCACGGCACCGTCGGGGTTTTGCCATCATATTGACCCGAAAGGAGTTCTTCAACTCGCTGTGAGCCCGCTCTCACGAAGTGATTTGTGGGCAGCCGCGAGCGCACAGTACCGATCTTCTGGAGTGGACATGAAATGCAAGCATGTGCAGACTCCAGTTGTGACGGACGGGGGAGCCCAGGATGCTCACAGATTCTACATCATCAGCCTCCAAGTATCTCCAAGTCTTTACTTGACGTCTTGCACAGCCTCGCCGTTGTTTGTTGAGTGGCAGCTTGCCGTGCTGCAGCTGTCACCAAGAAGTGTATATGCCTATACGTACGCCTATAAGCCTTGGCCCAGAAAAAGTGAGCAAATGTCAACGACACGAAGATCTGCGAAACGGGTCCGCTGCAATGGCAATTGAGCAGTTGGCCCCGAGACTGTCTGCTGATTTCGTGATTTCAGGCTCGAAAACACATTCACGTATTTCTCTATAGAAGCAGCTTGGGCGTGGCCTGCCAGCTAGCGAGATGCTCGGCAAGACGAGATTCAGCTTTGTGTCAAGCGAAGGTGGTCGTGTCGGACCGTGGGAACGCTTTCATTTAAACTTGATATCGAATCACCTTCTGCAATTCTGCAGCTGAGGACACGCCCGCTCTTGGAGTGGGGCTTGGTCCCAAGATGCATCCATGCTGCGCAGCCACAAGCCCCAAACCGCCTCATGGCAGACAGGCCCTCGAAACGTACTCACGATCTTTGTCAGACTTCGCGTGAAATCCTCAGTGATGAGGCTAAACAGCAGAGCCAGTGTTCTGCAACCGCTTCATTGAGAGTGTAGGCGTACTTTGAAGGTAGATGCCTCAGAGAGCAGGGAGCATCGCTGAAAGCCGAAAGGTGCACGAGCAAACAGAATGGCAACACTGGTCCGGCTGCCTAGCTCCACGCTTCCGGCCGTCGAGCTTGGCAAGTGAAATGGTGCTGTGGTACATGCTCGCTGAGGCAGCACGACCGCCTCCTGAGATTTTGCCTGTAGGACAATGATGACCGAGAGCGCACGTTTGCAGCATGGCTTTTTGCAATGCCGTCCCATCTCACGCTTGGCAGTGAAGGTCACAAACTCACTGTGCTCCGTCGCCCGCCACTTGTGTCAGGAGTGCCGGAACCAGCAGACCCTCCCAGCAACTCATCTGCTGCCGTACCTGTGGCAAGCTGAGCTCGATGATTAACGCCTGAGTGGGAGAGAGTGCGCAGAATGCAGAGAGTCAATGAGCCGATGTCACATACCTCTACCGACCCGATTCTCAGCCAAATCGCACAGCTGGGGTAGATCTTCGCAGGTGCACCATAGGAGGTACATCACCTCACTTCAGAAAATGAAACGATCATGATGATGAGGATGATGATGATGATGATGAGAAGGAGGATGAGGATGGGATGGGCAATGTCGGCGCAGAAATAAAGAACGTCAGTCATGCAGAACAAGATGAGATGATCCGTCAGGGTGTGGGTCCTGCCCTGGCCGTGTGAGACCCACGTGAAACACACTGCAGGAGATCCCTCAGAAGCCAAGATTCGTACAACGACTCGCCCCGGCGTCCTGAATGGGAGCATGAACAAGCCCCTTGATTTGGCCTCCGCCTGGTCTGCGCCCCACTTTGTCCATGGACGACGACCCCATGTTGATGCTGGTTGATGCATTCGTTGGAATCCGGGGGGCATGTGTTGTGATGTCAGACTTATGGTCGCGAAGACGTGCTCTTTTTCTTTTCTTTGATTCCAGGGGCTCCAGGTCGCCTGAGTTTGCTTTTGGGGGGGCTTGCACGAGTCGCTCGAGATCCTACACACGCGTATCCCTGTCCCTGGGGCCGTCTGTGGCAATTGCTCGCTGCAGCTCGATGGCAAGTGTGCCGATGCCTTCCTTTCTTCTCACGAGGTCATCAAGCCGCCCGGAGGAGAAGAACTGTGGGAAGCTGCAAGGCGCTTAGTCCGCTTGACGGAAGCTGCAAGCACCGTGGTCGCTGGAGGGGGGAGTAGGGCCGCTAGGCGCCGAATGCTTTCTGTCCCGTGCACGCTTGTCTCTGAGGTCAAGGTGGGTCCCTCAGAGAAAAGGGCCCAACGCAGAACTTGAAACTGGGCTGGGGCACATACTGGCATGAGGCGGTCGTTTCGCGACCTTGGGAGCACGATAAGGTGTGACAGCAATCGAGTTCATGATGGTTCATGCTTTCATAGACGAGATCCGAATGCTGGGGCAGGACAGTGAGGTGCCTTCTGCGCTGGTGGTCTTCGACTGGGCAGCTGCCTTTGGTCCTGTAAGTCTTCTTCTGCCTTTGCAAACTACCTTGGCCGAGGACGATACGATCCTGCCCACAGCCGCCCTGGTCGCAGCGAAGCGCATTGCGCCAGCCCCTCAGGCTGACACGGGGCCACGAGGCACCAAAGAGTCGGGAAAGCTGTGTTTTTTTTTTTTTTTTTTTTTTTATCGGATCCCTCTACCTTCAACTACCCGGCCCGGCATCGCCAAGGCCGGCGCCAGGGCATCCTGGCGAGGCGGCCACCAGCGGAGCCCGGGCCTCCGGGCTGCTCAGCGACTGGGCGGGGTCCTTAAACGAGACTCAGAGGTTAAACGGTGATGGTGAAGCGGTTAGGTCCGGTCCGTAGCCCTGATCAGGATTTCGACTCCTACTTGGAGGCGTGTGCAGTCGCTGCCCTCCAGGCTCTACAGAAGGCTCCGAGCAGACCATTTCCTGTCGCAAGATTTAAGGGTCAAGGCTTGCATGGCCTTGATTGAGCAGGCCAAGCAGTTCGGAAGGGCAAGCCCGTCAGATTGAAGCTGCACATAGTGCACCGTCTGGGCTTGCTTACTGCTTCTGTGCCAGCTTTGATTTAGGCGACGGGCAGGCGTGGGAGCGTCGTTGATGGGCCATCCGCGTCTAAACGTACGGGAACTCATCCGACAGTCTGGCTCAAACGAGTGGACATCTGCCAGCATACAGGATGACATGTCAGACAAAGTATACTTTTCTGGAGTAGTCTCAGGGGGAAGAGGGGCATCAGAAGAGATGCATGTTATGTTAAAACGTAGATAATTTCGAAGAGCCTGCCATGAAGGGCCTTTGCGCCGTATCAAGCTTCGTTGCGAAGCCGCCAGACCTCAGTCACACAGACCTCGGCCAGAACATCCCTTCGGACCCTACAGAGCGGGTGGACAAGGCTTCAAGCTTGCTGGACAACTTGGGTCGGAGCTTGCGAACAGTGCGGCATTCTGCAGATGAACTTGCGAACGCTGGTGCTATCCTTGCCGAGAAGGGAGATCGAATGGCCGACGTGGCGAACTATATCAAAGAGGCCAAGGCCCATTCGGCGAAGATGCAAGCCAACATTGCCGATATCCTAAGGTTGATCAAGGACATGAAGAGTGCATCGGAAGCTGGTGTGACCTTGCCAGCTTGTCTGCTTGCATCTGCAATGCCGCCTGTGAATCCACTGGCGCGGTCGCAGTCCAATTCGAATTCCCCTCGAAGCTGCGGTATGCATGCACGAGCACGAGCCAGCTTCGAAGACATCCTTGCTTTTCTTTGAACGCTGATCTCACAAATCACAGGGGTCGTTACTGCTCGCCTGTTCCCAGCACGCACGTTGTCACGCACTTCCAGCTAAAGCACTTGTATGCTCTTTTCTCCTAATTTCTCCTGCGGCCTCAGCAGCCAGGTGGTCATCATCACGAACTCCGGCTTCGGCTGGGTGCATGAGACAGCGGTCCGCTTCATGCCGCTCCTCCTGAGCCGGGCCTTCGGTTGCCTGTTGCAAGCGCACTTGCGTGTGCATCGTCATCATCATCATCATCATCCATCACTTTCATCATGAGAGAATCGAGATGAACGGTCCTTCATGATTGGTTGAGCGTTTGTAGAAGGGCCACGGTGAGGGCTGAGCTGCAAGGTGAGCTTGAAGACATCCCTGTGATCAGCGCGCGTTCGATATTTGAGCCGCTGGGCGTGCAGGAGCCGTACCGCTGGAAGGCCGGGTTTTACCCGCGGGGTCTTCCGCCAGTGCCGGTCCGGATCGCTCCTCATGTCGCAGTATCACACACCGAACAAGCGACGTCCTTCGTGTCGTGATGAAGAAGGGAGAGCAGAGAAAACCCCAAAGCCCAAGCAGTAGCAAGCGAGCAAGCCCGCTGCGCGAGCGACGCCTTAAACCTGGCTTGTCGAACAGTCTCCCCCGGAAAGCGCCCACCCTGTCCCGACAAAGGTCGGATGCTTAGCTGTGGAACTCCCCCCCTCTATGGGGTCGCGATTGTGCTTATGCATTTGGATCTGTTTGTACATATGTATTTGTCTCAACGTTTGTGTAAGTATATATGTATGCACACACATTTGTATGTCTGGGTGCATGTGTGCGTATGGGTCTAGGTTTTGGTATATGCGTATGTGCGTACGCATGTGTGTGTAAGTGCAAGTGTATGTGTGTGTGTAGGTATGCGTACATGTATGTATGTGTGTATGTGTGTGTATGTATGCATATATGTATGTATGTGTACATACATACGTACGCACGGAGGCACTGTTGCCCCATCGGTATGTGCTTGCATTAACACATGCATGCAAGCATCTCCAGACGTGTAGTGTACATGTATTCATGTGTATGCACATGCGTGAATGCATACATGCATACATCCATGCATGCATGCCTGCATGGATGTGCCATCCATTCATTCATTCATGCATCCATCTCTCCATCCTTCTGTACATGCACACATTCACATACACATACACACGCACAAGCGCATGCAGACGTACATACATTCCTGCATACATACATACTCGTACCTGTTTACTCGTACCTACATACACACACATACACACATGCACAGATACATGCATACATGCATACATACGCGGATACATACATGGACTTACACACACATGCATACATACATGCATACATGCATACATGCATACATGCATGCATACGCATGCATGCACACAGACCTATAACCCCACACGCACATAGAAGACGGTGAAGGGCGACGGGAACTGCTTGCTGCGAGCGTGCTACTGCTGGGAGTCAGACCCAGAAGGCTCGATCCGCAGGGATCGAACTGGCTTGCCGACCTCGAAATCCGACTTCATGGCCGAGGAAGACGGCCACCTCCTTCTCCGGAAGCGGATGGTCGAGTACGTGGAAGCTCGGCCAGACCTGATGCAGGAGATCTTCGAGGTGGAGGGCGATGACTGGCTGGAGAAGCAGAATTGGGGTCCTGGTGGAGGAGGGGTTGCAGTAAATGCAATAATAAAGCTTAATGCATGGGAATAATTGCATTGCCATAAATAGGGTTTACTGTTTTGGTGTTCTGCATTTACTGCAGGTATTGGGTCGGCCGATCATCGCGCTGTGGAAAACATGCAGACCGGCTTTGTCTACGATGAGCAGCACTACCCCAGCGACCGGGAGATGCATGGACAGTATCCTATTTACGTCTACTACGATGGGTATATCCACTATGACCTGGTGGATGAGAACTGGCTTTATGGTCTGCTAGCATCCAGGGGGCTGTCTGCGGCAGAGTCAGCCCTGGGCTTCGTGAAAGAGGGCGAGTTCGTGATCCTTGCAGAAGGGAAGAAGGAGGGAGGCAAGAAACGCAAGGGACCGCCTCGCCTCAAGAGCCGCCCCGAAATCGAGCCTGACGGCTTGGTGGCTGCAGATGGTGATGATGCCCACATGGATGAGGCAAAGTATATTGACCCGCGCACGCAGTTGGCGGGGAACTTGAGTAGCCGCCGCTACCGCAGCTCGGGCGAGCACCTCAAACAGGAAACTCGGATAGCAGTAAGCTAGAGGGTCTAGCTTGGTAAATGCAATTGTCTCATAATTTTTTCCGCGTAAATTGAAGCCTGTGGAGGACAGACAATGGTTCGTTGAGGGGGCTTGGGATGGTGCTGTTCCACTTCGGGATCCAAGCCTGTCGGACTCCGTGGCGGAGTCGTACTTTGACCGCTTCCTAGGCCTGGTTCAATTCGTAGATGACTTCAATGAGGGTCAGGTCCTCGATTCCGTGTGGGATTACCTTGCCCTCGAGAACGTAAGAGCTTGGCTTTACTGGTTCCTCGAGAACCCGAGACAGATCAAAGCGACTGGCATCCAGAAAGCTTATACGCCCTCGTATCTGAACTCCTTGGTCCGCACTTTGCGGGCTTTGGGGAAATGTTTCGTTGGAGATCCGGAAACGGATGAGGACGCGGCAGAATGGTTCAAAGGCTTGAAGCTGCGCCTCAGAAGGACGGGTTTACCCAAGTGCAGTAACTGATATAGATTGCATTTACTGATCACGAAGCTCCAGTTAATTGCATTTACTCAGTGCAATTTCTCCATGCATTGCATTTACTGTGCATCATGTTGCGGGCAGGTCGTTTCGGAGCTCAAGAGATCTCCGAAACTCCGCGACGGCATGGTCGCGGAGGACGAGGCCGAGGCCGATGCCGAGGGGGCATTGGTCTTCCTGGCCAAGGAGAAGCAAAGCCTGGACCATCTCCTCGCGAAGCTCCAAATTTTTGAGGTGAACATGGCCAAGAAATCCGTGGCGGTGGCCAAGTTAAAAAGAAGGTCCGACGCCGTAGCGGCTAAGGCACGCTACGAGCTTGCGAGAATGAAGCAGGCCCATTTGGCCTCCCTGCTGCTGCTGTGGCATTCTTGTCGACTGTCTGCAAAGATACAACGAAAGGAAGGCTGGGATTTGTATTGTCGTGAACAGGAGCTTTTCTTCACTTAAACAGGAATGATAGGTCATCGAACCTCTCACGTGTGTGTGTGTGTGACAGTGAGTATAAATATTTCTATATATGCTACAGTGCGGGCTGTAGTCGAACTATCGTGGGTCTCAGTATATGACCCCACTGTCTGGTAAACCTCGTAATACTGCATGTTGAAGTACCGCTTGTTTGAAGACAGATTTCGATGATGTGCAAAGCGTAGCAGCAGACTTCACGCCGCAAAATCTGGAATATGATAAGAGATGGCGCTCGAGTTAGCAAGGGATGCAAACTCAAGACGGGGTGATGAGGAACTGCGAGGCGCCTTGAAATATGCACATGTGTACACAGATATAATGTTACAGATATAGAATTATATACATATATATATACACATATATTTCTAATGTAAACGCAAGCTTCCAACAGAAGTGATCCACAGAAAAACCTGGAAATCCCGCATGCCCGATGTCCTCTGCCGGATCCTTTTCGGTTGTCACCTCTCCCCTTCAATTTTGAAAAAGCAAGTTACCCAGAGATCCGCAGGCAGCCGTTGATCAATGGAGCGTCGATAGTTTGCTGGACCCTATGATCGATTTGGTCCAACACGAGTCATCTGGTCAGGTTTTGGGTTTAAACCGTTCCTCCATCAGTCCATTCTCTCTGCTCCTATGACTTGTTCGGGACTCTGACCTGACCCTGACGTGACGATAAATCCGTTTACCCAGTGGTTTCGCCATTATAATTGGTAAGGCCCATCAAATGACTTTGTCGCTGCTCTGGAAAACTCATGGTGCCCATGTCATGCAAAGCTGAGCCGTGTTCCCGATGCAGGTCCTGTGCTTTCGCCGCATCGTAGACTGCTTCACGCCACCAGCCCAGATCGTATCCTATCGGTTGCAAGACCCACATCCCGCAACTGCATGCGGTGACTGTAGTGAAGGTGGTGAGGAAGTAGGCACTTACGGTTTAGCCAGCATTCTGCGTCTGGTCCTAGCCATGTGGGCGGACTACTCATGAGAACATGACGATTAGTTTCTGTTGATTGGTCCGATGACCGGTCCTTCTGTAAATGGCAAGGATTTGGTGAATACACTGGGCATTACATCAATCCTGCGGATGCATTGAAGCAGCTTTAGGCGTCGGCAGGCGCAAGGCTCTCGGGACAAACACCGACAAGTACAAGGTTTTACGTTTGTTTAAGTTGTGGGCATCTCGGTGTGATGTGGGTGTCGTGCTGCCTATATTCACACTGTCCATGCACTTGCTTGGACATACAGCCATTCACGTGCCGCTAGCCCCTGACCCTTCCAGAGAGAAGCATCTGCCATCGTTCAACAGTTCTCGTTTGTTTCTGTCCCCGCAAGATCCTTCCCGCGGATTTGTTTGTGATTGACAGTGTTCAACGAGTACGGTCCTGGAAAGGCTTACCCTGCAGGATGTGCTTTGCATGCAGGCCCTAGCCAGCGCAATAACCCAATCTTTTCGGAGTTTGCTTCGACTCCTCCATGCTTGCTAGCTCTCCAAGGTTCGATGCCAGTGGCAAAACAGGCCCAAGCTGCCTGATCTCTATCGGCGATGGCTGGCAGGAGCCGCTCGGAGCCACACAAGAACCAGGGCCTTGTTCGCTTCAGAAGACTCGGAGTCAGAAACGTGGACTTCGAAGCACCAATCCTTCGGTTTCAGCAGCAATTCTCCAGTCCAGATAGATCGTCCAGCTTGATTCGTGTTCTTGGCTTCAAAGCCTTCCAGCTCGTGCAGCTATCCACAGAAACATGACCAAGCAAGCCATTATGAAGCGAGGGGATAGCGGAAGACGACTGGCGCTTTCCACTCGTCCGGGCCTTGCCAGCTCAGGCGAGTGGCGGCGATGATTGCGGGCCAGGAGAGTACATGCGGTGGGGTCAGGGGTCGCAGGTGGAAGGCATGGTCACAGCTCCAGGACGTGGAGGCCTGCGTCAAATGCATCAAATTCTTGGAGCAGCCGGGGGTCCATGCCTTGGATCGGCCCTTCTCAACATCCCTAAGCACATCTCAGCAGCTCTGCTCGTCTCGAGGTGGACCAGCTCGCGCAGGAGCTGGACTTGTGCTCGCAAGTTTTCGAAGGCTGATTGGCCACTTGCGCTTGCCTTGCCCTTGCCGGTCTCTCTTCGGTGCTCTTCCGCGATTCTGTCGCTGCGCAGGGCTTTGTGGACATCCGAGCTGGGTTCGGCACTCGGCTCTCGTCTCTTTTGGAACTTCGACGTGTCGGCGTCGGTGCATCTCAGGTCGATGCTTGCTACAGCTACTCGAAGACATGGGGACCGGGCCTTGCCGCCTTGTCATCGACAGCAAATCGGACGGCGGACGGACCTGGCCGAGGATTGCAGCTGGAAGCGCGAGCAGACGACACTTCCGCGCTGGGCGGATCTTTCGCAGCAGCCTGCAGCTGAGGGAGGGACCTAATTAAGCCGCTGTTTTTTCTCGCATGTGTGCTGAAGCACCAGGTAGAGGGAACAGTGGAGGTGGTTTCTACTGACACTGTCGGCAGCTTTGCTCGTGCTGATGCTGCTGTTTCTGTTGCATACCAAAAGCGCGATCCGTGCAGCCATCGCGCCTGGTGCAGGTTGAGGATGCAGGCGGGCCGGTTGGGGGTGATGGACATCCTACAGCTCCACCGGCTCCACCTCTGCCCTGTCAGGGATGGACCACGTGGGCCCCAACACGTCCTGGTCCGAGATGAAAGCTTGGCCGGCTTCAGGGAATGTGGGGACGCCAAGGACCGAAGCCGAAGCGCCCGTAGGGACCCCAAAGGACGGCGCAACGGACCCAGACTCCGAGCGGCTCAGAGCAAGAAGATGCTCCTGCCTGGGGCTTCCACACGAGGCACCCAGTGATGGCATGGCTCAGCCGGAGCCGCCGCAAGAGCCAGCGGTGCTGAGTCCAAGTCGAATCCTCAGCGCCCGGTGAAGAAGTTGGCCCGGTGCTCCATCGTGAATGCCAGTCGGAGTTCTTTTGGTTTCCTGTCGCTGCCGGTCTTACCAAGGTCGGAAGCGTGCACGTCGCAGCCGTTGCAGGAGCAGCAAGGCCTTACATTCCCGCAAGCCGAGTCACAACCCAGCCAAGTCTGAACAGCTGACGTGAGGCGACTTTGCTGGCTCGAGCGGGCAAAGAGCAAGCCCTGCCGAAGCTCTCGGCGATTCAGTGCACGAAGAGCAGTGTCCGCCGCATAGGGAAGCTGGCTCTTGCTGGAGGCCTTGGCACCGGCAGTACCTGACCATGTCCGTGCATAAGAAGGCCAACTCTGCTTTTGGGGCAGGTGTGCATGTTTGTTACGCACGCAGACGGATCTGTCTTTTCGCCTCGCCGCGGAAGACAGGTAGCATCGGCAGCCTCGCGCCGCCTTTGGTTCCAGGCAGTGCTCTGTGTCTGGTCGAAACACAGATGCGGAGCATGTGTATTTGTATACATACCCGTACACAGGCACGGAAGAAGTTCTGCAAGGCTTGGGGAGAGGGGTTCTGCCTAAGCGGCAGGTGACTGCCATCGAGAACTCGAGATTTTGTTTAAGGCATTCGATTCGAGCATTCGAGTGTGTTTTGCCAGGTGCGCAGCAGGAATCCCGGACGGGCCGGAACCTTTGGACGGAGCACAGATGCGCACAACACCTGGGCTTGGCTGGCAGCCCAGCAGCCCAGGTCCCGGCCGTGAATTACAACGGGGCAGTTCCCTGAGCCAGCATCTCAGTGCCTCAGCTGGGAAAGGTCATTTGGCTGCGGCCGAGCCGCCATGAAATGTCTCGTGTAGGCTGGCGGCTTCGCTTGTGAGTCTGCCTTTGCCCTGACACCGTCACGCTCTCCGATGCGAGTGTATGTGCTGAAGTGTGCTTGTCCATGTTTAACTGCTCACCCCCTTCTGCGCTACTATGTGCAGCCTTTGGCTTTTACCATCCAGGTGCATATTAGCTTATTAGCTACTGGCAGCTACCAACATAAAAGTAGTTCGATGACTCTGTGCAGCAGAAGTTGGCGAGACTCCCGAACTCAGCTTGGACAGAGTTGTTGGTCGGGCTTGCTGACAAAACCCTTTGAGATTTCAATCGGCCAAATCTCCAAGAGCGGAAATTATAAGCCAGGCCACGGCTGCCCGCAATTTTCACCCAACCTAATCCTGGAAAGCTGTTAGCTGTTAGCTCACTACCGTGACTATTACCAAGTCCGGGCAGTGCAGTGAGACCCTGCAACATCATCCAGGGCACGCGCTGTTGTGTGACAGGTAGGCCTGCCTAGGATCGGATAGCGCATGACCGAAACAGGTCCTTGCATAATAATGGCAGAGGAGTGGGTCATTCATGTTTGCGCCGGCTGAACTCAAAACCTCAATGATGTATGATCTCATGTCCGAAACAGCCCGCATGCACATCCCAGCGGTTGTTTGCATGTCGTATCACGCCCTGTTCAGCTGTCTCGCACTTGCGCACAGCACCTGCTTTTCTCCGAAGTCCCCACTGGCTGAGAGGCAGTGCCAAGTGTGCTTGTGTTGTTGGATGCCCGCAAGCTTCTAGGGCTTCTAGGGCCAGAGGACTTGGAGCTGCTGAGCTGTACCAATCCAAGCCGAAACCCAAATCACGCAGTCGCAAAGATGCCTTTTCGACTTTATATCACATCTCGGCCCTTGTGAAACAGTCCGTTGCTTCTGTCTGGAGTACGCCCAAAGGCGGAAAGCAGACAACATTCTTCACGCGGCTCTAGAACCGCGTGTTTGGCTTCTGCCTTGCCATCGTCGGGAGTGCTTCCAGCAGCAGCGGAAAGTCAACGGACTCCGCCAAATTCCACCATGGGCTGCATGGCTCTACAGGTGCAACATTTCGATTTTTTGGAATCAGTGAATGCTCCACGTGATTCAGCTTTGTGTCTGGGGGTGTTGAGGCCGTGGAGATGTCTCCCTACACGAGTCAATTTGAGCAAGATTGGGCCGTGGTAAAGACATGATGTCTTGCGGGTTTGCAGCAGTTCGATATGCTTTACCTCAGACCAGTTGTGCCGTTTTTCATCCTGCATATCGTGCTGGATTGAAGCACATGTGCAATGCCATGCTGTGCCGCTGCCGACTGAGCTAGATCACCGTCACATACTGGTTCTGTCAAGATTGATGGCGTGTCGATTGTTAAGCCTTCGCCCGATACTAGTCCATCGGACAAGCAAGATAAGGTACTTGAACGAAGAAACAGGCAGCAAAGCCGTCGTGGAACTTCCTGTGGCATGCATGTCACGCAGAGAGGCAAACACCTCGAAAGTGAGCCTATGCTTGCTCAGTGGCAGCTGCTGTGTAGCTGGCGGATCAACCGATCAAGCAGCATTCCTCGAAGGATGCTGACCGCCAATTTGCAAAGTCAGCATGTGTGTGCAGTCCTTACCTGCCAGTTTAGCGCCACAGCAGCTCGTCTAAACTTTGACTGGAGGTCCGAACCCTGCACCCACATCTCACATGCACTGTGCCAAGGAGGCAGCTGCCCCCTACGCTCAGCAACAGTCTGCCATACTTAAACCTTTCATTGTTATGATAGCGGGTTTCTGCTTCAAAGCTTGGGATAAATGCTGAACGTTGATCCTGCCCATTCCGAGTGTCCTCGTGGCACCCTCCCTCCTAAGCTTGGAGAGAGGACCGAATGGGGGAAGACTCAATTTTGGGCTCTCAGAACACGCCCAACGCCGTTTCTGCTGTTTCGTTGGATTTTGCATTCGGTTTTGATGCGGCTGTCATCTGACAGAAAGCGCCTGCGAGAACGTATTCTATTCTACGTGACAGGCAAAGTCAACCTTGAAGAACAACGAGTGCTTTCGCGAGGCGCTATATGGAGCGTCGAGATGCTACGCAGCTGGGTGGTACCTGCGAGCATGCAAGAGAGCTTGTGTCCTCTTGGTGTCACTGCGTCACTTGCACGTTGCAACAATGACCGCCAATCATAAGCTTCAGAGGCAAAGGAAGGCCTTCAGGCGCCCAGGTGCCGAAAAAAAGCATCTCTTCTTGCCGCTGTTTAGCTTCTATAGAAACGTTAAAACTGCGTTGCTGCAGTGGCGTCCCAGCTGCTCATCCAGAAAGTCCACTTCGCAGCTGCTGTGGTCGACAAGATAGGCGCAGGCAATGTCCTGGCGGGCCCTCTTTCATGGAATCACGATTCCGGTCCCTGGCCCAACGCCGTACCGTTGTCCGGCGCATTTGGCACGTGTGAAAGTTCTGCCTGAAGGAGCTGCTGGCGACTTGTGCTGTCGGAATAGGGGGTGGCTACTACATCTTCTACCCTGCCATTCAGGCGTGGTGCAGCTTGTCGCAGCTAGGGAGTCTTCAGTCGGCAGGAGCAAGGCTGATCGACAGGACTTCAACCGTCGGCAGGAGGCTGTGCTAGCCGAGCGTCTTCGGCGTGCGCAAGAAGGCGGGACGCGGGTCGGACAGTATGATGTGCACCGATACACGAAGTGCGCGCGTGTGTGTGTGTGTGTGTGTCTCTCTCTCTCACTCTCTCTGTGGCTTTGCACCTTAAGTCTGAATGCAGGAAGAGGCCTTCAAGACGGCGGCACCTCCCAGGTTCAGCGTTCGAGTTGATGCCGACCAAGCCCGGCTTGTGCTGCAGTCTGCTATGTGTGAGGCACGTGGAAGTCTGGAGCAAGCCAGCACCAAAGAGTGAATGCGCAAAAAGGTGGTTGAGACCTGTGCATCCTTTGACGTTTCAGAATTTTGGGATTACCCTGCAGATGAGAGAGAGAGAGAGAGAGAGAGAGAGAGAGAGAGAGAGAGAGAGAGAGGAGGAGCTGGCGAAAGAAAGAGAGCAGGTTAGAAAGAAGAGCAGATCATTTTAAGGCTTTAGCCAGAAAGAGAAGCTTATACTCGTTATTCATTCCCCTTTCGCCCAACAACACGTTGGGTGGGCATGATGCCCGGGGGACTTGACCGTCCCTCATGGCCGGGACAGAGAGAGAGAGAGAGCAGGTTGGACACGTAGCGCTGCTCCAATCTGCTTTTCAGTCTGATCAGGCTTGCAGTTCCGGCTGCAACATGTGCTCGATATTGATTAATTACTCGCCTGCTTTGCCGGCTCGACTCGACAGCAACTTGGCGTCGTAGTCACGATATACGAGTAGTGAAAGCACAGAGAAGCTGGAAGGGGGTAGTCTTCAGCACGGCAAGGAGTCTGGGGCATAGCATAGCGGCATAGCAGGCTCTCGCATCCGTTGTGGACTCTGCAAGTCGGAGTTTTGCTCCGCAATGGCGCAAGGCCTCAAGGGTCAACGTTCGGGGTCCAGCGGGCCGCTTTGTGGCTTTGGAGGTGCATGTGGTGTGCTGGAGGCCAAGTTGCGCTGATTGGTCGTAGGCCTTCGTTTCTGAGCTGCGCTTGACTTGCAGGAGATTTCGGCCGATGACTTGTCCGAGTCCATGCGAACAATTGCTTCGAGCATGGGGCCCTGGAAGACAGCTCCTCAGAGTGCCATCGACCTTGCCATGCCAAGCTAATGCCTTGTGTCAAGATATGCCAGATATGCTTCAACCGTCTTCTTTGCATCGGAAAGGTCAGGCAGTTTTCGCTTTGTGAAGAAGCTAGAAGAGGCTGCCCGCAACCATGGCCGCGTGGCTCCTCAGCGGCGCTGGGAGCAGATGTTGCAAGTACCAGCTACGCTGACCCCTCTTTTCGTCAGTGGCATTCGAGGATATGATGGAAAGTGAAGGGAAGACTCCACACTTGGTAGCTGCTTGTATTTGCACTGCTGCTTTGTGTGGCAGGATATTGCATGTCTTTTCGTGGAGGGTGTGAACCTTGAAATCCGAGGCTGTGAAGCGGATGCCAAACAGCCCCTTCGCCGAAAAATTGGCAAAAAAAATTGCATCGGAATGAACGTTGCCGAGGTTGGATTCGATCTGGGCCTGAGGAGTTCGCGGACATGCACCCGCACGAGTGTGAAAACCCATGGCGAAACATCGGCATGCTCGCCGAACTCAAGAAGAAGGCTCTGGGAGTTCACCCTTTAGAGAAGCAGTCCGCTTGGCCTGCAGGGCTACTCTGCCACTTGCGAATTGCTGGGTGTTTTCTGCGACGAAGCTCACACTTATGCACGAATCTCAGAGACCTTCAAGGGGTCCGCGAGCTCAAACTGATTCGAGCTGCCAGCGTGAGGCCGTCACTACACTGGCAACTGGAGGCAGCTGTGGTACTGCTACCGGCAAAGCAGCACCACAGTCAATGTTGCTGCATGACGTGCTATCTCCGGATGAGTCAGGCGATTTGTTTTCCTGGTGCGAGAATCGTCCGCATCCGACGCCAGATCGAGAGGTCGGAGAAGCTCTAACGACTGACTGCGTTTTTCTTGGACTCTGGCACTGAAACTTCAACCTGAGGCTGAGATGTTGCCTTTGGTGGCGCAGACGTTCTCTGCAGTGGAGTGGCTCCATGCGTTTGGGCCCGAGATGCCTGTGGTAAAGCATCATGACCAGCAACAAGCTCTGAGGTTGGGAATAGCACATCGTGACCTATCACTGGAGAACCTTTTGTTGACAGGCTCTCCGGACTGTTGCACAGCCGCCAGTTCTCTGCAGCCTGTCTATGTTGTGCTGAGTGCAGCTTGCTGTACACATCTCCCAGACGACAACAAGTTGCTGCTCCAGACTGGGCAGCGTTGGGCAGCACAGTGAAGTCAACACATCCATTGATCTTCCCATCGTGTGTGGTTCGTACATTGGACAT